GAAATGGCTAATGTCCCAGCTTGGTAGGATCATAGCAGAGATTTGAGGGCGCTAGAGGCTGGCCCGCAGCAGGTTGACCCAGGGACATTCACCAAGTACCTAATCTTGAACCAAAGGATACCATACACCTCCTACATCTTGCCCATTTACAAAAGGAGGACAAGATGCCTCTTCTTACATCTGAACTCACGCCCACAGGCTGGTGTGCTGAAAGGTCCCCACCAGATGGCGCTGTTGTGGAAGGCTGTGGCACCTTCACAAGTAGGGCCTAAAACGGTTTGCTCAGGTTACTTGGGGAGGCCTTTGAGAGTCAAACTCAAGCCCCAATTCCACTTCCTGGTCCGTTGCTCTCGTGTTCCCCATGACTGACAGCACAACTTGAGCTTAGTAAACATTTCCTCCTTTTATGGTTTGACTGTGAAACGTCCCCCACCCTGGGCTCAAGTCCTGGAACTCTTAATCTGCAGCTGGTCAGGAGGCTAGCTGGTGGACGTAGGCCACTAGGGATGGGCCTTGTGGATTACAGCCTGGCCTTTCTTCCGGGCTCTGTTTCATGTCCATTTCCTGATCCCCACCTAACCTGAGCAAGAACCAAGCTAATGACATGGACGGAGCCTCCCCAGCCTCCATGCTGGTCCTGTAAGCCATGAGCAGAAATAAGGCTTCCCTCAGTTGCTTGGTGTTTCCAGGTGGGGAAGAAAATCAACCAGTTCACCTTGTGTCTGCCACATACGCTGGTCACAGAGAAAGTAACTTCCTGCTGCAAGGCTGGCTAGAGGATGGGTCACTTCCGGTTGGTGGCAGGACAGCCCAGCTGTGCTAATGGCTCTTGCTCTCATTAACATCTCACAGTGAATTGGTACTCTCAGAAATTTAGGGAGCAGTCAGGACTGGGAAGTCCTGGTCTGCTTTCGGTGAGCCAGGAACCCCAGTCTTCATTCCCTCCCCAGTCTAAGTGCCCTTTCCACTGGAGCATCTCTCTGGGAGCTTAGTTTGGGGGGACAACAGTCCCCCTAAAAAATGGAGTTTCGTTTTTAACTTGTGCTGGGGGACAGAATATTTTTAGATTTGTTTTGGTTTTCTGCCCCAACCCAGGTGCTGCGCATGTTAGTCAAGAGCTCTACCATTAAGCCACACCCCCAGGCCCTCACTGGGGGAATTCTGGGCAGGGCCTCTACCATTGGTAACCACGCCCCCAGCCCCTCACTGGGGGATTCTAGGCAGGGGCTCTACCACTGAGCCACGCCCCCAGCCCCTCACTGGGGGATTCTAGGCAGGGGCTCTACCACTGAGCCACGCCCCCAGCCCCTCACTGGGGGATTCTAGGCAGGGGCTCTACCACTGAGCCACGCCCCCAGCCCCTCACTGGGGGATTCTAGGCAGGGGCTCTACCACTGAGCCACGCCCCCAGCCCCTCACTGGGGGATTCTAGGCAGGGGCTCTACCACTGAGCCACGCCCCCAGCCCCTCACTGGGGGATTCTAGGCAGGGGCTCTACCACTGAGCCACGCCCCCAGCCCCTCACTGGGGGATTCTAGGCAGGGGCTCTACCACTGATCCACGCCCCCAGCCCCACTAAACAGTATTTTTATCAGTCCCTTCAGTTCAGGGCTGATGCCCTCAGGGACCAGACAGAGCCAGTCTACTCTCCTTTTTTTTTTTTTTTTTTTTTTTTTTAAATCTTCCTATCATGGGCACCCACCCCTATACCTCACATTTTCCTCAGTCTTGCACAGCTGCTGGGCTGTAGTCCTCTCGGGCCTAAGGGCAGCACTATATGGTGATAGTATATTCTCTGAGCACCTACTGTATGCCTGGATGAGGCTCACCTATAGCAAGTATATGAAGTGTTTACAGTGTGCTTGGCACTACTCCAAATGTCAGTGCAGTCCCGGCTTAAAGGCTGGCATTACTCTCAGAATTACTGTTCATGAAGAGGCAGACAAGGCTCAAATGACAGTCACTTACATAAGGTCACACAGTAGAGTGCCACCTTGGCTGTCCCCGACCTGCACAGGGTGGCTTCGTCAACCCCCTTTTGGAGATGGGACCCCAATGCCCTTGGGAGAGTCACTCCCTTATAAGCAGACCTAAGCCCAAGGCAGGCATAGGACCAAGCCCAGCCCAACCTGGACACTCTGATTGGCTGGGGGAAGGATGCACACGTGACCCCAGCAGCTAATGACAGAGAGTGCTACCCTCTGCTTATACCCCAAGGCCAGACTGCCACCAGCAAAACAGAAAGACGGATTCCTACTAGAACCAAGTGGCTGGATCCATCCATGCCTGAAGGATATGATTTCCAGGATAGATTAAGTTTTTTTTTTTCTTTTCTTCTGTTCCATGGACTTCCCTAGCAAACTAAGAGGTCACTACCAGGATTGGCTTTTGAGTTTTATGACAGGGGAAACAAAGACCTTGAGATGGGGACCCAAGGCCCCAGAGCCCCACGTGGCTGCCTCATACCTCATCCAGGAGCTCCACGGATGCTCGAAGGATCCGCCTCCACTTGTGTACTTCAACACTGTGGAAATGCTTCTGCAGAGCCAAGATCTCGGCCCACTCCGTAGCTGTCTGGGGGAACTTGCTGTGGAGACGCAAAATCCAAGTGAAGGGGCTTGGCCCCGGCAGTCTGCTTAAGCTCCGCCCCCTCCTTGCCCTCAGGGTCTCCACTTACCCCTTGGCCAGTGCCAGGCTGTGCCAGGACTCAAAGGTATGGGCCGTTCTCTCGAGAGCCCAGAGACGGTAAAAGAGGAGGGCATTGAGAGCGATGAGGACGATGAGGCTGCAGACAGAGCCGGAGATCAGGGATCCTGGGATCAGGATGCTCCCGCTAGTCTGGCCGGGAGCTTTGCCCCGCCCCCAACACACTGCCCTGCCCGCAACATAACCATAACTAGCATAACCATACTTTAAAGGGTACCCTGATTACCCTTTCAGAGGAGGAAAGCGGCTCAGAGGGGCGACTAATACAGCCCATAAGCAGAAAACACGGTTCACACTCTGACCTATGTCATGCCTACATGCTTGCCGGCCACACTAAGCCATCTTCCCTGGAAGAGCCAGGGACATTGAACAGGGAGAGAATGCTGCTGGGGGACGAGCTGTGATTCAGGGGGGAAGGTAGCAGGGGGAGAAATCAGGGCCCTACCTCACACAGATCCTGCGGAGGCAGCAAGGGGGAAGACAGAGATGTGAAAAATGCCCAGGGCGGTGCTGGTACCCAGCCCTCCTCCACCCAGGGCAGCTAGCTCTGAGCCTGGCAGACCACAGGGCTCCTCCTCGGTGACCTTAGGAAACTGAGGCCTCAAGGGGCTGAGTGTGTGGCCTGGGTCAGCTTGAAGCTGGGGCATCTTCCTGGCTTTTCCTCACAGTGTCCTCCAAATAAATGCCTGATGTCGCTGCCCAAGCCCCACCGAGCCTCAGCTCAGCCATCCTTGACTTCCCCTGAATCTGATGGCTTCCCATCTTTCGCTACCACGACCTCCTATACCAGCTCTGGTCTGATGGCAGCTCTCTAACCTCCCCACCACTGCTATGGGACTCTTGGACGGCTGTGTCTCCAGCTTTATCCAGCTCAGGGCTGGGTGCAGGAAAACCAGAGTAAAGTGTATCCACGACCTGACACCTTTTGAGTGGCTAACTCCACATAACTTGTCTCTTCTAAAAATCTCTCCCCTTTCATCTCCCATGGTCCCCAGGGTGGCTGCCGTCCCAAAAGAAAGACTTCTCTAAGACAAACTGAGCAGAGCCTGGGGACTCTGCTGGACACACCCCAAACACGCCCCAACCAAAGCAGAGAGGCCCACAGGCCCAAGAACTCGATCACATCATCCAGCCAGGCTGCAGAACCTTACTTACACAATGCTGATGAGAACCAGGGCGCTGGGGATGCCCGCCCCGGGGCCCTGATCTATGGACGGTTCTGAGAAGCGAGAGCTGAGGGAACCTGTAAACAGCAGCTTGGGGTGAGCCAGGCATACCTCAGGGACCACCACCTCCTCCAGCTGCCCACCTCGACGTAACGCACCTGAGGTGTGTATGCTGGCCCGGGTGCAGGGGTCCGGGTCTGGGTGCTGAGGCCCATCTCCGTGCCCCCTCCAGCTCAGGGGCCGTTTCCGTCTCCGCAGGCCTGAGAGCAATCCGCGACCATCCTTCCCTCCTTCCTCCAAGGTCAGCTTCTCCGCCTTGGCGAGTTCCCGCTCTGAGGGAGGAGAGCTGACTCAGGATGTCTGGACCCAGCTGGGGCCGGAGCCCCTGCCCCTGCCCCTGCCCACCAGCCTCCAGGCCCCTACCCATATGGTGGAAATAATCTTCAATGCCACTCCACGAGTTCTTCTCAATGAGAGACTTCACGAGGCTCCACGGCTGCTTTCGGTAACGGATCTCTGAGGACACACTAGGACGGGCACAAGAGCGGAACCTAGGTCAGGTCTTGGGGAGGGGGATCTATGTATCCCAAACTTTGGGGAAAAATCCCCAAAGAAAGGGATTTTTCACTAACAAACGGTCTTTCCTGTGGCTCAGGCTAAGCACCTCAAGCCTAGGCATCGGCCTCTTTTGCTTTTTCCACCACACTTAACCCTGAAATCACATAGCCTTTGGTTTGCGGCTGTACTGGGGACTGGGGATTGAGGCTCCTACCTGCAAAGCAGGAGCTCAATGGGTGAGCCACGCCCCCACCCCCTCCCTGGGGATTCCACACCAGCCCTTGAATTTTTCTTCTTCTTCTTCTTCTTCTTCTTTTTTTTAATCCTGTTACCCTGTGACCTCCGTCAGGGTAGGAGGCAGCCAAGATGGGGTACACTGGGGCTCACCGAAGCCGGGCCTTGTTCCGGGCCAGACCCAGAATGCAGTAGCGGTGGGCAGTGTAGAAATAGTCCTGATACGGGATGCCCTGGGTGAGCACCTCAGAGTCCACCACACACCCGCCCGCCTGGGGGCCACGCCGGAACAGCGTCTGCAGGGAACAGAGGGGCAGGAGGAGGGTCAGGCCTGGCTCACACCCCCCCACACACACACAGCCACCTGACCAGGCCCACCTGGGTCTCCACCACAGAAGCGCTCTTGGGGCCTAGTGGGTTGCTGATGGGGATAGTGTAGGTCAGGACTCTACGTTGGTGGCACTTGCTGTCGCTGCTCCAGGGGCTCAAGGTCACATCTAGGGGAGGGAGGAGGAGAAAGAATAAGGACAGTGTTCTCCTTTCTTTGCTCCCAGGCTGGAGGAGACTCAGACTTTCCAGGGGGTTTCAATTCTCTGCGGATTTGTTCCCAACTGCACCACCCTACCTACCCCATGGCACTTTTAGTTTAGAAGCTAAAAAGTTTAAGCCGGGCGGTGGTGGCACACGCCTTTAATCCCAGCACTCGGGAGGCAGAGGCAGGCGGATCTCTGTGAGTTCGAGGCCAGCCTGGTCTCCAGAGCGAGTGCCAGGACAGGCTCCAAAGCTACAGAGAAACCCTGTCTCGAAAAACCAAAAAAAAAAAAAAAAAAAGCAAAAAAGTTTAGATAATAGTGATAATGACACCTGGGACACTGACCCCTTGTGGAACCACCTCATCCACTGAGGTAGTCTCCGCTCCTTTTTGTACCATCTGTAGTTTCTGCAAAGCATCAAGTGAGGGACCACAGCCTTTGGGACACTTTTTGCTGGACAGCTGCTGAACCCTCACCCCTACCAAGCCCCACACTGAACTCAGTACCTCTCCAAAGCCTCCCACCTGGGTCTCCTTCCCAGCGTCCTCCACGCTCCCAGGGGAATCCCAGGCCTTGCCTTCACTGATGTCACCTCTATTATCTGGGGGCGGGGGTGTGTCTGCGTGCGTGTGTCTATGCCTGTGCACAATCCGCAGTGCAGCCGCACACGTGTGTGGGAGCACATGGGAACCAGAGAACAACCTTGAGCGTCATTCCTCTCCAGGCGCACCGGCCTGGTCTTCCTGAGACAGGGTCTGTCCATGGCCTGGCGCTCACTGACGGGGATAGGTTAGCTGGCCAGGGAGCAGCCCTACTAGGGGCCAGAAGCATGTGCCCAACTTCCGGTGCCCGACTTTTAGAGCTATTTTATTTTTAGTGTTTTGTTTTTTGTTGGTGGGGTGTGTGTGTGTGTGTGTGTGTATGTGTGTGTGTCCATGTGCAATGCCTGTGGAAGCCAAAGGTATTGGGTCCCACTGGAGCTGGAGTTACAGGCAGTTGCGAGCAGACCTATATGGGTGCTGGGAAATGAACCTGGGTCTTCTGCAAAGCAGTACAAGTTCTGGACCTCTGAGGCATCACTCTAGCCCTTTAAAAACAGTTTTTACTGCATTTATTTATTTATGTATGTAATTTGTGGGGGGTGAGCACACGAACAAGTGTGTCAGAGGACAACGTGAGCAGTTGGTTCCCTCATTCCACCGTGTGGGTTTCGGGCAAGCACTGAAACATCTTGCTGGCTCAATACTTGACTTTTTATGTGGGTTCTGGGTATCGAACTTGGGTCCTCATGCATGCACAAAAAGCC